AGCCATGTGATATGCTAGGAAGTTAAACCAGTACATGCAATCCTCTTGAGATGGAACAGGTGTGTTAAGTTTGTAATATTTCTTGTACTGATTTACTATGTTTTTATGTAGCTCCTGTAATGTGTATCAAAACACACTTTCAGTTAATACTATACCAAGGTATGGACTGGTTTCAGTATTAAGGAATTATAATTAATATATTGTATATAGTACTAAGGAATAATAATATTTCTCAATTGTTATATGTCAACAAATGAAGTAAGAAAAGCTTACCTTCCAAAACTGTACACTTAACCTAATTTGTTGCTTAAGACTTTCTCCAGAAACATTCTCTGGATATCAAAAGACAGAAAAGCAAGCTGCTAACCTTCCTTTTTAGGTTGAGAACAGCTATCAGATCACTCTTCACGTTAAATGTGTGCAGTCAGCAAAAAAAGACCCTTACATATGTAGATCTAAAGCAAGTCTAAAAACTTGCCTTTTCTTCATATCTACTCTTTCTGCCCTGTCCTTCAGTGAAGAACTGGCAAATTTACTGGGCCCAACTTATAGGTCCTCTTTCTGCAAGTATTGCCTTAAATTGAAAAAAAGGAGTAAAAAGCACTTCTCTGTATTAAAGAAAAAACTTCCTGTTCTGGTAGGGTCTTGATGCCTTTGGAATCATCAGTGGAACAATCCATCTCCTGCTGGAAACGTCTTTGACAGAGAAATAACAGATACACAGCCTTCTCTCAGTTCCATTTCTTAGCTCCAAATGGAATCATCATGAAAGCACTCCACAGATTCAAGTTGAAAATAAATGTTTTCAATTAGTCAGCATTAAGTTTAACTGCATGGCGAACCCATTCTACGAAGCTACTCTGGATACCATTTAACAAAGGAACATTTTCTGAAGAATGCACAGCTTTGGAGAGTGAAGTTAAAAGTAAGTAGATTAGTCAATACCCTACCTGAAGCTGGTTGCGATTCTTCTCTGTAAGAAAGTCAAGTTGAAGATCATGTAAATAATAGTGGAATGACTTCCCATTACGATCACAGAATAACAGTGATTTGTTAACAAATTCTTGTAGTATATCTTCAACATCTTCTGTTTCCATATCCCAAAGAATACAGAAAACCTAAAAAAGCACATTAAGACAGAAAAGACTCAGAACTAAGGGGTAGTATGACTTGTACGAATATCATAAAATGCTACCAATTAACTGACAACGAAACCCATGCTAACAAATATAGACATATTACAACCGGTAATAAATCCAGTAAGTTACCAATTCTTCCATACCAAACTACAGGACAGATAATACAAGTTATCCCATCTTTTGTCTATTTGTGCTGACTTATGGTGATTGTATCTTCTTAAGGGAGACAAATTTCACACAACCATTTTTAAGCCTTCAGAGAGCTCAATTACAAGCTAATTAAAGAGCTATATATGGAAAGCATATTAAACTAACATTATGAACACACTTATTCAGTTACCATTTTTTAGTTTCACTACTGGCAATAAAAGTCATGATACAATAATGGACTTGACCTATCCAATCTAGCAATTATCATTAAGTTACATACAATGTAAGTTATAAACAACAATTATAAATGTTACGAATTCTTTAAAGCTATTGTTTGTGATGAGATTTCTGCATTGCTGCTATTACCTTAGTAGGTACTTTAACATCTTTTGGGAGGATAGACAGGTCTTTATAGTAGTCTTTATAATTGTCATTCAGTTGCTCAACACTGATGGACATTGCTTCATCAAGGGCTTCATAATCATAAGAAGATGATTTTCTTATTCTTTTAAACTGCTTATTCTGCAGCTGTTTGAGATAGTATTCCCAACGATTAGGGAAGTCTCGTAATAATGCACCTATCAAGGATATCACAAGAGGAGAACCTGAAGGAAGAGATCAAATTAATCTTAGATGTTTTCAAGGAACATAATCCAATAGTTTAGTCAAGTGGTTGAATAAATCTGGTAATTTTCCCAATACATCTATTAAATTATTGAGGTGTGGAGAACAGACAAACAAAATATGTCATTCATGTAGACATCTGCAAACTCACGAAATTTCAGTGTAACAGAAGGTCAAGGGGAAGATATGCTGAAGAAAACTACTCAAAAATCAACATGAAATAATTCTATTTAGTTGAAAAAAAAAACTAAAAGTGTTTAAACACTTGTGTTTTACTTAAGGCATACAGTATTAAAGAATATTCCATCCTCTTCTCAGGTCAAAACCTAGAAAAAAAAAATACATTCCGTGCTAAACAGTATAGTAAAGAGCTACAGGTATACCTTTGCATTCCCTTACAAGGCAGTTAGCTTGTTCTGGCAGTTCTGATATTTTCATATTCACAAATAGGGACAAAATCTCCAGTCCTTTCTCATGTGCTAGTCCACTTTCCACATGAACCTCATATTTATTGCCTAGACATAGAAACATGGAAAAAAAATTTAAAACAATGTAAAAAATCCTATGGAAATTGAGAGTATTTTCCAAGCAAAATCTGGAGTAAAGGACCTGGCTGATGATTTTATGCGTATTTTATATGCTTAGCACTAAGAATAGTATAAATTCTACTTATCAGAATCAAGTTTGCATTAGAGAGACAAAAAAATAGAATATAATAATTAAAAATGCGTTATGGGCACGTTGTAGCAGTGACTGCTTAAGAGCGTAGAGATAATCAGTCTAATCGCAGCAGCATCACACAGGTTAATTTATCCTGTTGAGAATCACTGCACTCTTCAATGTAGACATAGAACTTTCAGGATTACACATAACATCTATGTCATGAAAAGCATAGAGTCTTACAGCGCAGAAGTCTAAAACTTTGCCACTCATGCATAAGTTAATAGATATAGATTCTATCAGATTCTTTTTAAAGTTCACAAAAATAAACTGCATACAAACACACACACAATCTGTGGTAGAGGAGAGGAAACTGTTCCTTACCAGCCACAGCATCTGTTACACTCCTGTCCCTGCTGGTGATAAGAACCTGACATTGATTATCAAATGCTTTTAAAACCCAGGAATCCCAAATGTCGTCCAGGATCAAAAGAGAGCTAGTGCAAGAAGAAATATTGCAGATTTCAGATCAAATATTAGTGCTAAAATACAGTATTTCATTTTAATAATGAAAGAACATGTCCAGAATTTACAGTGCAGCACTGTATAATTTTTACTAGTACTATGTAAAATATCTTAAGAGGGCATTAAACACCGTGCAAGAAAGCTAAATGCAAGTATTAAAAAAAAAAAGTTTTTACCATTTATTGCTTTATAGCTAAAATTGAAGTGTAAACAATAAAGTTTTGAGAAATATTTCCATTAGTAGATGTCAGGAAAAACAATAATATTTACTGTTTTTCATGTCATCAGATACCATAAACAAAGAAAAATGTTGTACAGGACTAGATAACAACTCTGCTTGATGCAGGCTAGTGATCAGCTTTGCAGGAGAAACTATTTCAGTTTCCTTTTGACTCAAGAGCTTTCAGTTTTTTTCTTGTATCTTCAGAAAGCTGTACCAGACTAATCCTCTTGTGAAGGAATTGTCTTAGATGAGACTCTTTTCACATAAGCAACATTTTATAGTGACTACATATTCAAATCCTCTGGCTAGTCACGTTTGTAGGTAACTACATGGAATCTCATCAGAATAATGTACAGTAGACTTCCCTACTCTTGCTTGTATCTGACAAAGAAGCTACTGAAAACTGTCTTTAAAAGGCTGGTTCCAAAGGAGCAAGAAGTCAGAAAGACTGGTTGGCAAACAGATTTATGAAAAGAAGTACCAGTTGTTTGTATTCTCTGTGTTTTGTGGAGGAAAGAAAGTTATTGAAACCCAATCCTGTAAACTGTTTAAATTTACCGCCTTTTTTTTTTTTCTTTTAAAAGGGATGGAGTTTTCAGCTATGCTAATCATTGGTTAAATTGTCCAATTCCTACTGAAGCATGCCAAGACTTCTGCATTTTTCTTCAGCTAAATGACACTTATGCTATCAATGCCTATAAATAAGGATTTCATCCTTTGTAAATAAGTGCATACACATTATACCACATTTTCAAAGTTGCATATGAGTATTAGATACTCATGTTTCATTTTGATACAATTCCTCTATTAAAACCTTTTTGATAAATCAGAGGGTTTATAAGAATACTATCATAGTCACAAATGACTAATTTTGTAGTACTTTCACACTTGAAAATATGTTAGGCAGCATGAATTACAACCTGATTTTGTGTTTTTAATTGATCTGAGAACTTCAATGTCCTCCCAGTCTTTTGGTACCAGTGACTTTCTTTCTCAACCACACCAACAAATCTTAAATCCTAATTGGGATTATAAAAAAAAAAAAAAATTAAAAAACCTCACACTGTGATAACAATCACAGGAGATTTAATTCTAAAATTTCTTACTTCGGTTTCTTCAACTATAATCCAACAAAATATATAATGCTATTTTGCTCAGAAAGTTTTCATTTGACTAATACTTTATTCCCAAGAAATGTACTGGGTTGATGATTTGAGTCCAGAAACAGCTGAAGTGACTTTTTGTCAGCAAAGAGAATTCCAGAGCAGAGCAACCTCCACAGAACTAGTGAAGCTTGGTTTCTAACGCACTTGCACCGTATGATCCTCACTCCCCAGTACATTCTCCTCTACCTCCTCTCATGTCCACTATGATTTCCCAGATAACCCAACATCTGCAAAACTTCGTTTGTTCTTACAACATTCTCACATGTATGTAACTAGACACGATGCAGCACAAGCTGTAGCCTGTTCCCAGCTCATGTATCCAAGTTGTCCAGTTAGCAAGACAACAAGATATGTTTCCCTTCAATTCATTCTGTATACCCCTTTTGACTACCGAAGGCACCTACTTGCATTTCTCTCCTTTATCCAAATGTCAATTTTTCATACGCTTACAGAATTTTCAAAGACACAAAGTTCCTACCTTTAGAGTCAATTTTGGCAATATGATCAAAGTGTTTAGGATAGGGAAGAGAAAGCATAAGCAGGACTAAGATGAATAGTGTGATCATGTTAACATGGTTTTGAAATGGCAAAAGCAGTCAGACTAGAAAAGTTTTATAACTTTTCCCTAAGGTGCAGCCATCCTCTCTGCAATGCTCCTATCTAACATCTGTTACTTTATCTTCAAACCAATTAATGAATATTGCCAGGTCAACAGCATTCTACGTGAGATGTCTGGCAGTCTATAAGGAAGACACTGCCACAGCTGGCATGAAATGCCATGAAATAAAACCAAGTGCCTGATTGTTTCCAAAGCTGGCATTTTCTCTTCTCCCTTTAGTTTCATCAGCATGCAGGTGGTCATTTGCCAAAACACAGCAAGTACCTCTCAAATGACTCACTTTGTGCACTACAAACAATATAGCATAGCACAGCATATCAATCATGTTAGGTTGCCCTGTTACTTGACTATACAGTAGCTGCCCACTTCTGGAACAGTTCACGATGCCATAGGCGTGCACCTTAGAAGAAAACAGCACACAGTTCTCCCTTCTACTCAGAAGATACTGTAATGTTGTGCCTGAATTAAACGCCCAAATTTTTTCGTATTGAAGAGTTTTGTTTTGTTTGTTAGTGAACAAAAAATAACAAGAATTGTGTCAATGGAGACAATCACTTAACATACTTCAGGGAAACCTGAAAGTGAAAGTGTCCTGTCTGCACTCTTCATATAAGACCATTCTATTTCTTGTGGAGGATCTGGCAGTGTTTTCCAAACCTTTACTTCACAAGAAAGATTTTGTTTTTCCTGTACAAAAATGGCAGTGTTTTTCTACTCTATGTCATCTATAAAGATCACAAGGTTGGAGTATTATTCCTGAGAGATCTCACTCTGGTGCAGCCTTGTTTAGCACAGATTCTCCCAGAGAGTAATGAAATCCTCAACAAATAACAAAAACTATTGCTCAAAGATGAAAAAAAGCTGTGCAGTGACTGAGATGTCGCTTGATTAAATCAAGTCACTTTTCCTGAAGTTTGAAAACAACTGGTTTCTTGGTGATAATTGATCACATCACGAAAACTTGTTTTCACTTTGGTAACTCTAGACCAAACATTTTAAAAAGACATCAGCTGTTCCAGAAAGGAAAAATTTTCTGCAGTGATACACACCCTTTTACTGCTGTGTGATCCTCACACATCTGTGAAGCATTCTACATACACAATGAGAACACAGAAAGTTAGAGCAATTCTTATTTCCAACTGTTCGTTCCCAACCTTCATTATTCAACAACTAATCATTTTTCAAGCTAATATGACTTCTGCACATCTGGTTAACATATTTCATTAGCAGAAGCCTTATTAGCCTACTAAATATATTCACATCCAGGACAAGCCTACAATGTGTACCTTCAGTTACTTCATTTAAAAAAAAAATCTGAACAGTGACAGAGCTATACTATGTACAGTATACATCTGCCTCCAGCATCTATTTATCCTTCAGCTTTTGTACACTTATCTGATCTTACTTATTTTTTGTCATATGCAAGTCAGTAATTTAGAATATTTTAACAGGAATTTTTACAGAAGAATTAAAATTGTAGAAGTATTGTTAGCTTCACCTTGAATAACACTTCCTAATTATCTACAGTAAAACGGTAAGCAAAAAGTGGAGGAAGTTCATTTAAAAAAAAAAAAAACGCCACACACCACAGAGACGTGCAACTACAACACAGATATCTTAGATGATTAAACCAAAGTTGCTCTGCAAAGTGTTGTCACTTAAAAGAATAGCGTTTCGTTTTACTGACATCACCTGGGATATTTGCGTAGCATCAGCAAACGAAGACGATCTTTAGCCTCCTCAATGTTAAGTGGTGGCCTTTGTGAAAGAGTAGAGTCATGTTCTAATCTACTACAGAGATTCTGGAGTTTTATTAGGAGCCCTGCTTTGTCCTGTTTTCCAATAGAGATCCAGTGAACTCCTCCTGGAAAGTAATCTAACAAGAAAAGTGATATTAATCATGCTATACATTTAAAATCAGAAATATTTAATAGCAGCTTACAACAGCAATCAATAACTCAATTTCAATTAAAACATAAAGCTGTAAAATCTGTTCCAAACCAACCTTCCAACTCTACCATTAGCACAGAAGGACAGTTCTACAAGACTACTTTTTATTTCTAAAGGAAGAGGCTCTGCAGGGCAAGTTCCCACAGAGAATTCACACTGTCACTGTCCTCTCTCCTCTCTACATGCCTTTCTTCTTGTCCCTTGACAACCCTTTCTGCATCAATTTTCCAGCTAGTCTGACTTAGCGTTTACTTTTTCCACCCTGTACAACTGAAAATTATTGCAAAACAGTGAACAAGAAGGCATCTAGAGGTGCCAGCTGCAGCAAAGGATGCTGTAGTCTCTATCCCTACACCATGTTTTCTAATGCCTGGGTCTCGCTTTCTCCTCCAAGTGTCCTATGCAGGGAAAAACAAAATAATGATCATTAAATTGCTTCATTTATGATTTGCTTTAAGCTAAAGTGATACTAGTGTAATCACTCCACAAACGCCTGATATTATTAAAAGATATGCAAAAGTTAGAGCAAGATTTTTTAAACTCACATAGCGAGGGAAAGAATTCAAGAACTTAAAAAGCAACACTCAAAAGGAATATAATCTAAATATGACTATTTTGCACTAACAGAAATAAAACTTTCGAGTTAATTAAGGATGTATCTACTGTCATAATTAAAGCAGATTCCAAGGTGAAAAACTATTTGGAATCTTTTCCCATAAATTAGTTAAATATTTAGTGGTCCTCGAGCACTAAACGGTTATGAAAGCTGCACGTTGCAAGCAAATATTTCAAAAGCACCTAAGGAATTTACAAATCTAAATTACTTTCAAGACAATGTAAGATACTGAGCCATATATATCCAACATGCATATATCTGTAGTAATTTTTATAAAAATACGGATGTTTTTCTAAAAGTACCTTTCAAGAGCTGATGATCTCTTAAAGCTTCTGCTGTTAAAACAGTCTTCCCACAACCTGCCATTCCATAAACTGTGACCCAGCCTGGGTCACTTCCCAAGCAGCACAGTTTCTGTTTAATAGCACCTACTAGTTTTGGCCGAGTGACAAACACAACCGGTCTCTGTGGTACACCTCCTTCGCAGAGAATTGTCTTAACTAAAGTTAAAAACAAGATAAATTAAAAGAGAGAGCAATTTCTAAATTTGATGCTTCTTCAAACCAAAACAAACAATTCCCCACTCCACCCCAAGTAACTAGTGGGCTTCCTCCCTCAACTCATGTCCCATACAAATGCTCTAAAAACTACCGGACTCACAACACCAAATACTGAAAAAAAAATATTGCTTTTTAGAAATAAGTTACCTAACAGGTAAACTAGTCTCCCACATGCAATGCTGTCCCCATTAATAACTACATTTGATGCAAGCTAGTTATATCAGTCCCTAGAAGTAAAAAGACAACTAACAGCTCTGGTAGAAACTGAGGCAAACAAACATAGGCGCTCAACATTATTACACCCAACTGTCAAGTCACTTTCTCAACCAGAAGTTACCGCCCCATGGATGCTGCAGAAAAGCAAGCATGCTGTGTAAGGCTTTTACTTTGTACTTAACAGCACAGTGTCGTGGTCCAAGCAAGACTTCCTTTGCTTTCAGCTAAGACAGTACAACTTACAGAAGAGCAGGTAAAGCACAGCAGGAAGGGAAACATGCACTTCATCTCTTCACTGCTGGCCACAAAGCAGCCATACGTGGGGCCATGTTATACTGATAAAGTCTGGGAAATCTTACTAAAGTAATCAAAATTCCACGTGTCTATGACACTTCGTAAAAATATAGAGTGACAGTAAATATGGCATTTAGTCATATGCAGTTAGGTTCTTCCCATTAGAAACTGCCAATTTATTTCATGTCAAACAAGATGTTACTGATGACAAAGGAGATAAAAGATAGGAAATTATGTTGGGTAACTAAAAGATCTGGTGGAGAGAATTAGCAACCTAATAACTAGATCAACTATCGGAATGTAGGCTGAGAGATTACAGATTACTCTTCAAGAAAAATGTCAGAATTTTGGAGACTAAAACTTTTTCTGTTATTCAATTTCTTTAATATACACAAATAAGAATCCTTCATGTACAACAGAAATATTACAACTTACAGAAATCTGAAGTTTCGGGTTTCTCGTCTTTTAAAATAAACATTACTAAATATGAACATTTTTCAGATGACCTACAAAAGTTGTAATTGTTGTAACTCTCCTCCCATATTAAATATATGAAATACAGAAACATTGACTACCACACTACTAAAACAAGTGAATGCACCAGCTACTCCTTTTTCACTGGAACAGGCATTATGGATAGTGTACTCAGGAATAAAAAGTCCAACTTGTCTTTACTTTCAAGCACAGGGATTGCTGTAGTTATACTGACCGTATGAAGTCATTCCATCCATTGAACTCTTTCCATTGTCAGAGATGGCAGGGATACCATCCTGAAGAAGAGCAGCAAGATCTCTGTACCCTTCGTGAAGCAGTGCATTATAAAAGGATCTATATGCATTATTATCTTTTGTAAGAATAATGTTTATTAGCATAGCTGCTCGCTCCTTCTGTGTATTCTGGAAAAAACATTAAAAGAAATGTTATAAAAAACTAAGAGACTGACTCTGTCAATTATAGACTCAGTTTATAGCCTTCAACTGTGAAATAGCCTTCAACTTGACCAAGCCCTTAAGTCATCCTTATGAAGTATGATAAAAACTGCATGCTAAGTATATGCTTAAGAATTTGCTGAAACCAGCAATAAGAAAGACAGAAAGTATAATTTTTAAAAAGAACAATAAAACATGTGAGCAAACTAGGAGGATAAAAAACAGTGAAAGACAATTCTACCTGTTGTTTCACTTTCTCCTCCTCCTGTAACGTCAGTACTTCGTCAGAAATCATACGATCCATAATGTAAGAGGTCTTGATGTCTTTTTCCAATGCTTGGCGATTGATAAGTAAATAACTTCTACTTTTCACATCCATGTTTCTTCAGCATTTAAAAAAAAGCCGAGGCAGAATCAGAACATAACTTACAAGTACAAGGAAAAAAGTTTTAAAATAGCTTATGAATTTTGGTTTTAAAGTCAGAAAAAATAGTAGAGCAGCTGGATTAGTGGAAAATACAGTGAAGTTTCAGGCAAGACCATTCTACAAACTGCAGAAACCAAATAAATTTAGGGTGGGTCTTTTTCTTCCACTTTCTGTCTTGATAAAGAAACTTTCATACTCTTGTTGTATGAATTTAATTACACTATTTATGACCCACTAGTCTAGTGGGTATCATTAAGATAGTACACAGTACTATCTGTGACAGTACACAGATGTACCACAGTACAGTATCATCAAGAAAACACTGGGAAATATTTAACGACATTCCTTTCCAGCAGAGAAAAAAAACAGTCATATTAATAGTTAAGTTGTAATAGTTCACAGGCTACTGTGAATATGAATAGCATTACTGAAATATTATTTAGTTGCTATATGCTATTATGTTTAATAAAAACATCCAGCTGAGAATTATCACAATTAATCTGACTACGGCATTTCTTCAACTGTGCCACTTGAAGGCATACAAAGCAGATATAATTTCAATCTTTAACAACTAATTAGACTCAGTAAAACTCTTGTGCACACTACACGAATGGAAGTTTTCATTAAAAAAATCAGATATGTACTGCTAATTTGTGGAAGCAAAAAAAAAAACAACTGAGTCCTTTTCCACATTTCTATGTATTTATGCTTAAGGACACTTGCAGAATTAAAGAAGCTTCTCATGTACTAGGAACTTGCTTAATGTCTCTATGAAGAGTCTTCTCCCCTCCCATGACATCCCTTAAATTCTTGAAATCCTTGGATCACGTGACTGGGACAAGAGGATGCAAAAGAGGACCAGTCTCGAGGCTGGACAGAATTACAACAGAAAATGAACTCCCTATGTACCAAATCCCATGAGATAAACTCACTTTTGTCTCCAACTACAAGGCTCCACACAAGTACACTCAGATCTCGACAGAGACGGCA